ACAAGTCAATAGGGGCTGACGATGAAAGATTATTTTTCACCAGTGTTTTTATGTGTTTCAAGCATTTGGGGTTTTTTCCAACTTCACTGTAGGAGTCCATTTCTAAAAAGAATCCATTGTTTGCTAATTTCCAACAGTTAAGCAGTATTCTGTGTTTCATAGTTATTGAAAAATAGGTTAAAATTGATCAATGTAGCAGCTAACACTATTTTAAAAAGGAATCCTAGTAATTTGGATTTTCTTTGTCCTTCTCTACACAGTTTTGTACAATCCACTGTCTGTGCTGGTTAGAACACTTCCACTGTGATGTACCAGATAGAGCATTGGAGTAGGACTGGAGGATCCCCAATTCAAACTCTACCTGTCCACCAAGCTCAGTGGGCATCCTTGGGCCAGTCAGTCTTTCTCAACATAACCAAATTCTCAGGAGCCAATGGAGGATTTCCTCCTTCTTTTACAACCTCCAGAGGCAATTGCTAGAAAAAGTGTGCGTGTGTGTGAACAGTTGTTTTGGCTCTAATATCATTTCTGGATAATAGGCACAAAGAAATACATTGATACCTATCCTCAAGTGTGACCTACAATTTCACTTCAGTTTTCCCATTTGCAAAAACTGAGGGACTTACTCTTAGCCAAGTGCCTTCCTTCCCATGGGATATGGCTCCTCAGACAACAAATTCCCAGGTCCGTTTGTTTATGTCCATACTTACTCACTGACTGAGTTCACACGACATACTAAGAGGAGACTTATATAAACTAGCCCAAGTACACATGGCTTGACCTAGGGCACAGAAAATTCTCCATGTTTTAACATGCAATCCAAGTTTAGCGACTTGGTGAATACCACCATAAACAATGAAATGGGACTATGAATTCAATACGTGGAGGGCTATATCCTATGGGAAAGGTACCCAGGTGACATGCTAAGTTGTCATCAAGCCAAAACTCAGCAGAATCCCTTGGCCGGAGTGGCAAAAAAAGGTTTGTTTATTTTTAGACAGCTTATTATGAGCTATTTGAAGCAGAAAATGACATGAAAGGAGGTTAAATACTCCCTCCCAAATAGTTTTTCTCTAAAGGGGCTTACACACACACACACACTTTGTATAAAATGTAGTGTGACTCCTTGTATAATACAATTTCCCAAATATATACAGCCATCATCTAATGAGCGAAAAAGGGTCAATTGAAGTAATCTCTTCACCATTATCTTCATTATTTTTCAAAGAGAAGTTGTGTAACTTGTATTCCTGATTTGCTGGCCAAACATCCAGAAAGAGAAGGCAAGGACAAGCAAAGCGTAAGTAGCAGAGGTATGTGTTCCCCACCAGTATCAACCAAGAGTGAACGGCAGACATTGTAACAAGCTGTTGCTTCACCATGATACCAAGGAATTCAGCTCCACATTTCTAACATGTCTGTTCATGACGATGACAAAATTGGGTGTGGTGAGAGACCAGGAGACTTGGGCTTGTCGTTCCACTTGCTTGGGTACTTGACAGTGATCGTAGACAAAGCTTGAGCCCCACAAACGTGGCATTAGCATGCAGGGGAATGCACTAGCTCCTGCTGGTGCATCAGACAAACATAAATTCTCACCCCCTTTCAAACATTCTATGACGATAAACTCTATTACTATAACAGCAATGATGAGAAAACTCTGAAAATCCCCGGTTTTTAATTCACGAGCACACACGTTTTTGAAACACTATCATTCTTCATCAAACTTCATTCAGAGGAGAGAGCTTTTCCTAGTGTGAAGTTATTGGTGTTGGCTAATGGATTTTCCTCCAAATATGAATCTGGGAGAAGATCAAAGCTGGAGATTTATTTATTTATTTATTTCAAGTTTTTGTATGCCGTCCCCTTGCTATACAGCCTCAGGACGGCTCACACAAATAAATAAATATAATACAAATACAGATAAAACCCAGAAATGCCCTGGCTGCACAATTAAAACATATACATATTATACGTTGTTAAAATATTGTTTGAATAAAAAGGTCTTAGCCTGGTGCCGAAAAACGAATAACGACTATTACTGTGACTATTATCAGTCACAGGGTTGGATCCATTATTCCGTGCATGGGCTTCTCATGCCGCAGGCCTTCTCTTTCCTTTCCCACACCTTCACTGCTCCCAAACATTACCCAGATCTGCTCTGGAGCATGCTCTAACCTACCAGAGCATATTTGGGGGTCATATGGTAAGCTAAAGGGAGCAATAGAAAGCCATTCCATTAGTAGATGACCAACGCTGGATCCAACCCAACTCTCTAGCTGCTGCAACCACACATAGGGTAAAGAACCAAGCAACCCAGCTAAGTAATTCAAGGCAGGAAAGGGGTCGATTTCATGCCGTGCAGGTATAATAAACAGCCACTATAAACCTCTAGGTATGGCGTGATGGGCATAGTAATTTCATTGCATCAGTTCCCCAGCCTAGTTCTCTCTCAGGAGTAGGAGCTATAATGGACAGTAATAAGAGGCAACTGGGACTGGGTTGGGTTGAGATTTACTCAGTGTCCCAGTGGACCATTACAAATGTTAAGCAGGCTGTTAATTGGTTTAATGAATCAGTTAATGAGTTGATCCTTCCAGCCTCACTTTACATTCATTCATATAAACAAGATTTATCATGTGTGACAGCTCTTTCAGGGACTCCTTTAACACAATTAAATGCTGTTTCCTACTTCTGCCACATTTGTAAGGGTGTCGCCATTACACTTTTGTGAGTGTACTGTACATGCATTTGAAAAGAAGCCTGGGAAATAGGTCCAAAGTATTTCTTAATTCTTCACCTAGCATTTTGGAATGCACAAGGTAAAACTGTATCTGTGGCTTTCAGTTCCTTTTCAGTTCTGTGAATCCACACAGAAATTTGGGGACAACATGGTCACATCTTGACCCTTTGCAGTTACTCTGGTCACTTACTTGGTTGTTTTTTCAAACCCTGGCCCAGAACCTTGTCTCTGCGCTGGGTAACTCACAAATCAAATTGGCAGTCAAATAAGCTGAATTTCTGCCCTTTAGACACAAGCAATATAAAAATAGGAAGCCATGAAACAAAGTATTAACATTTCTTCTTTCTTCTGGTCAGCACAGAAATGAAAGATTGGAAGGCAAGACATCTCACCACCATCCAGAGTTGCAATTCTGAACTAAAAGCTACCCAACTTCTGTTTGAAAATATTTATGTCCAATTAAAGGGTAACACCTCCAGAAAACTAAAAGCTGGTTGATCCATTATCCCTGTATATGTTTGACATGTTGCAGTGTACAAATGGCCAAGTTACACATTGCTTTTTTCTTTTAAATTCTTATTTCTATGGGATTTCAAAGAAATGATAGTGTGCTAGTATTAAATGGAAATATCAGTATTGGCAGTGTAACGTTTTAGGTTTACAAACTCAGGAGAAAGAAAATCACACTTTAAAAAATATATGAGGCAACACCTTTGTTAGGAAAAAAAAATAAAATGCAGTATTAAAATTAAAACACAAATTTGCTTCTGCCTTTTTTTTTGAGGTAGAAACACTGCTGCCCAATCACAGCCATATTGAAATCATAAATTCCTAAGTTGCTTTCTATTAGGGCAGCAATCACTTCCCAGGCAATATTCTTCTAAATGGCTTTTAACTGAACCAAGAACCTCCTTTTCCTGATCCTGAATGTGTCAGTCAGTGATATAACTTCCCTCCTTGGCTAAAAAATTTGAAAGGCAAAACCAGACTCATTTACCTCAAAATGATTAAGAATTGTATCTGCAGATTTTACCTTGTATCCCAGGTTCTGTGAGGCTAAGACTTGCTTTTTTAGTGAAAGCTTGGAATCGATGGGCATCCATGTTCTGCTCTTGTAAGACTGCCTCCTTTTTAAAAGGACCTATGTCCAGGCTATTTCCACTTCTTAGCTTTCATCCTTGCACTGTGACCACTGCCTGGTTTTTATAACTTGGCTGACCCTGGAATGGGTCTTGCGCTCCTCTGGATCTTTCATTCCACTGCTTCAGCATGTTGTGGTAAGTGCAAAATTCTGAAAAGGTTTTGTAGCATGAATGTCTGGCTAGGGACAAGTATGTGAGAGCTGTTCTTAAGCAAAGGGAGAGCAAGAGAGATTTGCCGGCAGAGGGTTAGAGCTGGATAAACACCCCTTTTAATGCTCATTTTATCTATTTTCTTTACCATTATCCTGTGATCCTGTTCAAGGTGGATCCATCCCAAGGTGGCACACAAGATTAAAAGTAAATAACACAAAACAAGAACATTCAGTGAAATTTTATTGCAGGCAGCAAAAGCATTGTTCTGTTAATTCACTCTCTAAATTATGCTGAAGTACCCGTGGAGATCTAGTACTGTACGTTCCAGTATCCACCATGACTGAATAAACCAAGTGGGGTTAGCGGGACATCATGTGGCTGAAGAGAAAAATACTGCCAAAGAGGACTTTCCCAAAGCTATAATTTCAAGCAAGCTGGATTTCAAGCACTCTTATGAAACAGTTTATTGGATGAAGAGATGGTAATAGGGATGCTTGAAAGGAAAAGGGGTTTGTTCTGTCCCAGGTGGACACTGTGTTATTTTGTTATGTTGCCCCTTAGACCTTACATTTATAATTATGCTAGTTTATTTTCTCTGTCTCTGTTAGCAAGAGACCCTGGTGCCATGAATCACCCCTGGAAAGATCTCCTGTCTAGTTTGTAGCAGCTCTTCAGTTTGGAAGAAACCTCCCTCCAGCTTGGTTCTTTGTTTCTGTCCTTGCGTTTTAGCTCATCAGTCCACTTCATTTTATCTCAGCCACTCAACTCATCTATTCATCAACCTCAATTATTAAGTATTAATCCTGTTATTATTAGTGGTTCGCTGTTTATGCTGCATTTCAGCCAAGACGCTTTGAGTCACACAGTTCCACTATCTGGATGGATGCACAGCCCAACATATGTTGAGGCCAGGACAGGTACAAAATTAGAATAAACAGCCCAGACAAAACAGCCAGACAATATTTTGTAGTGAATATTTTGCTTTTTATTGTTATTAAAAGTTTCTTATCAAATTGGCACAACACATAAAAATAGATTTGTGAGTAGATGATGCACAGTATTTATTGCTGGATTGTTTCATGCAGTATCTCTTTTAAAAATCCCTTTAAATAAAAAAAATCCAACTGTAACATTGCAGAAAACATTCACTTTGGCTTGTCTTCAAACCACTATGCCTGCCACATGAGACATCTATGTTTCTAGTAAGTGCTATACGGTTCTTCATTTACATAAAATAGCTCACCATTAAGCCTTCAGAGCAGATACATTATGGTTGAATAGACAATCAATCTCATAAGACTAGGGAGAATATCTATGAATTTGACATAATTGCAGCTTACTGCATTTCAAGCACATGTAGCAATTTACCAGCTTGGCCCACCTTTGACTCATTTGCCACCACCTGACCACTATAAGTGGACCCTGTATTTTTAAAGAGGTGGTTTATCATGTACGCTAGCAAATATTCATAACCACCCCTTCTATATTCTTTAAGAATACACTTGCAATAATAATAATGCTTTTAAATGAGTTTCATAAATAGCATCCTAATAATCTTGTGCATGGGTGGGAATCCTGTGGCGCTCAGCCTAATCTGATGTGTCCTGGGGCTACCTGTGGCCCTCAGGCTGATTTAATGTGGCCCTCGGCTTTATCCTAAAGCCCCCTGCCAATGACCAGTCCAGATGGTTGATGAGTGATCTGTCCCTCCTCTGGGGCAGAATAGGGACAGAGTGAAGAAGAGATGAGACTGGCAAAGAAAGCCCTTCCCGTCACCTGCATGTGCCCCTGAGAGACTACCTCCAAGGGAATGTGGTCATCAGTGGAAAAGTAGCTCCCTCCCCCTGCTTGACAGTAACCTTGTAAGGCAATATCATCCCTGTGTTAGGAGGCATGGAGGCTGAGGGAATTAATAGCACCTTGCGTAAGGCTGCATGAGTGTTCATGGCTGGGGCAAGACTTGCAGTGGGACCTCTTCTGATCATTTCAGCCACCCCAGAACAGTTCCCTGACATGGACACCTCTTGTTTCCTACCATCTTTAAAAACAGTTCTGAATTGCACAGGTAATTGTGCAAAGCCCGTGAGAACTATTCAAAATGGGTGCTGTTCTGAGTTAGGATTGGAGAGAGAACATGCTCTCAATACAGCACTTGCTTATTGAGTAGATACCTAATGCAACTGCCTTAAAGACATCAACAAGTTTAAACTTATGTTGCAGGGTCAGAATTTAAGCTGTAATTTTAAAGTGTTTGAAAGCCCAAAAGTCAAATCAAAATTCAGATGTTTTGCTGAAGTCTGAATTGGTGCAACCTTTTGTTTTACTTCTGTTGTTAATGTTGCACAACAGATGCTGGCTTATCAGATGCTGAATGTGTCAGTTTCAACTTACTGTAGTTAACCAGCCTCCTTCTTCAACCTGGTGCTCTGCAGATGGGCTGGACTGCAACTCCCATCATTCCCAGTCTAATAAATGTGCTGGGAGCCAGGCTGGGGAAGATTGGAACTAACACTGAGTACCCTTTGGAAATGCTTTTTCCCTTGTAGGACAGCAATCCACAAAGTTAATGGGATTCCCCACCACTACCACCACCAGCTTTCGGAATTTATTTGAGTGATGCTAGTGCCAAATGCCCCAGCAGAATCGAGGCAAGACCTCCAGCAGAACATTTTCCATTTCACTGGCAGGCAGGCAGGCAGCAGTGGATGGATGGATGGAACCAGGAATTGGATGGATGGATGGAACCAGGAATTTTGCTGCTCTTGGCACTGAGGACATTTCCAGTCAGAGCCCCACAGGTCAACAAAAAACAATACTGAATGGCTCTCCTCAGGCAAAGAAGCTCTTTTCAGTTGGCATCTGAGTCCCCACCCTCTGGAAACACATTTTGTCTTTCCTGCACCATGTTCTAGGGAACTCTGTTTCTTCACCTGGGAACTTTGTGGCTGTGATAGGAGTTGTAGACCAGCGCTTCTGCAGGGTATCAGACTGGGAAAGGCTGACACTAGTCAGTCCTTTTGAACCTTGGTGCTGTTCCACACAAGCCAAGCATTGTCCCCATTGCTGCTCATTGCAGGGACAGAGCAGGCATGTCAAACAGTCTTTCTTCCAGGGAGTTCCCTGATAAACTTCTAAGGAATGCCAGTTACCTAGATAAATGGTTTTAAAACCAGTCCAGGAGAAGATGCATGTAACTCTGTCCAAAATGATCAGAATGCAAAATGTTGCTGCAGTGTGTGCAGCTGGCCCCTTTAAGCCATGGATTAAAAGGGCTGGTTTGTTAACCACACCCACAGCTCACCCTCACTGAGTTCAGACAACACTGCAAGCCATGACACTAGCATGAATATTTGAAATCACTCACCATACAATGCCACAGACTTTAGCTCACTGTGGCGTGTGAACATGCAATCTCGGACACTATTTCTGACTTAAACCATTTTGAAATGGGTTCATTCCACTGAAATGCAACAGCCTTCACTAAGATATCTCAGTGAGTCATTGAATCAAGTCTAAGGAGGCCCCAGGTTTTATTCAGAGAGTGTTGTTCATGGAAAACAAAGTATTATTCAAAAAATTAAGTCAACTGTCTAGCTTTGAGCTTATGAAGTACCAATGGCATAGCAGGCTCTAAATCAGGCATATTGTCTGCTATACCAAATGATTGTCAGCATTCCCAGCCAGCACACTGGCTCTGTGTGATCTTCTTAAGTGCTTTTCTCACTATCAATGCTAATTTTCTGTTGCAAACAAATAGACAGGGATTGTAACATGTCCATTCTTTCCATTCTTTCAAGGCGGTGATGTATTAATGACTGCACCATTCTAAGGTAGTTCAGAATAACAATTTGATGCTTTGTTAAAATAAGAAAACAATCACACAGTTAAACAAACTAACAGGTAAAACAGAACCTTCAGGAAGACTAAAAATGTTGGAGGAAATGAAAGATGCATGGTTCAGCCAGAAAGGCCCTCTTGTGGGCTGTCAGCCAGTTAATCTCTAATAAGGAGGGATCAGAGAGGAAAACCTCTGCTGGGATCTGAAAACACAGGCCCAAGGGTGTGGGGAAAGGCGCTGCTGTCCCAAGCCATTTCTCTTGTGTAAGTATTTTGAACAGGGCCTGGTAGGAGACTGGCAAACTGGAGAGCTCTATTAACTCTGGAGATAGAATCAGATTGAGATGTATCACTCAAAACCCAACTGAAGCTTCTATACCATCTTCAAAAGCAGCCTTTTCTGCTATGACAGTAATTCAGCTGGGAGGTTACCAGGCATTGGTACCTGTAGCCAGACTATTTTTCTTCAGGAGAGACTGCAGCTGGTGAAGGAGCTGGCAAAAGGCCAACACTTGTCTCTTTTTGCAATTGGGGAACAATCAGCTGATTGGCCCTCCTCCAACTTCTTACTGATTCCAGATTCAGCATCTCCCCACATGAGATGTCCACTTGACTCAGAGGACAAAGAGAAATAGAGGTGGGTATCATCAATCAACATACTTCTGGCATCTCACTCCCCATTCCTGGATGACTTCACCTAGCAACTCCTGATATGTATGAACAAACATGGGTACAAAACAGCACCCTGTGGGAACTCACTGAGCAAATACCAAGGCTTCAGCAGAAGTTACCCAAGACAACGCCCTAGAACAAACCCTGCAAGTAGGAGCAGAACCATTCCATTGCAATGCCTCCCACATGCAACTTAGAGCTGGTATGGAAGGATAGCAAATGATACCAAAAACTGCTTAGATGTATATACTGGATCAGTAGGTATGGGGATCTGTCAGCATTTCAACTGGTACTCAACCTTCTAGGACTGAGGCTTCCTTGTACATACTGTGGTATTAGTGAGTGTAAATGCTTTGACCTCAAGGTTATGCATTTCCAACTATGTTTATACGTGCATAGCTGATCACATCTGACCAAGCATCCATGACCTATGATGTCTTTTACTGCATATTTGCCTTCTTTTGTATGTACTTTTAGAACAGGGGTAGGCAACTTGTAGCCCTTGAGATACTTTCTTGGATGAGGAATATAGCAGTCATAGGCCAAAACACCTGCAAAGCTACAAGTTGTCCACCCATGTTAGAGGCAAAACGTCCACATTAATTCAAAGTGCTCTACTTTTTTGTGTGCGGTGAGAGGGATACACACATGGGAGGTAATCTCTGAAGTTCACTCCTTTTCCCATCAGGGTGCAGTGACAGACCTCTTCACATGTAATGGCAAGCCACCAGGGCCAAATTTTCCCAAGGAACTTACCATTTTGCATGTGTAAGATCCATGTTTCAGCAGGGGTTGGGAGTGGCTTGTTATCCACTTCAACCTACTCTTGCCAGGTTTGTATGTAGCAACAAGTTGTGATGCACCCCTGCTGTACCTTGGGCTTTCAAAATGGTGGCTGGTGCCATGCCAAGAAGCCCCAGTGGCAAATTTTCCCTTAGGGTTCTCTTTGTTTCTTCACAGTTGGAATTCCATGCCTTACAATTCTCTCAAAGCAGAAGTTTTCTGGATTAGAACACATTTAAAATATTAGTGAATTTAGAGTTTAGTATTCAAAATGTTTGTGGATATTAGTTAAACAAAGGCTGGGTTCACACAACACATTAACCCCTTGGGAATTTCAACCATGCACTATTAAATTTCTCTGGACCGGCCAGACCTTCAGTCTCAGCAGGGGTCTTTCTCCTGCCGGCTCCTCTTCCAGCTCCTCCCCAGTCCAGCTGCATTATCCCAAGGGCCCTGCAGGGCACAGCTGTCCCCCGGGCTGCATAAAGCCATTTGGCAAAGTCTGTGGCTTGACTTCTTCAAAACGTTCCACTGGATCCACACATGAGGAAGTGAGGGGAGCCCAGGGCTGCCCAAACACCCCCCAAAACCTGAGGGTTCAGCTGTTAATGCTGCTTCCCATGAACCCCACCCTAAAAAATACTGGAATAGTGATGGGCTAAAAAGTTGCAGTTTGCACAGGTGATTGTCTGCATGGAGAGAGTGCCCCTGCCAACTTTCCTTTTCCAGGTGGGATGGAAAGCATCCTTCACAGTAGAGTCCTCACAGCGGCTCAGGTGGCACCAGGCTGCCCTCGCTTTCCCAAGTGTGGGTAACACAAAGGTGCAAGGGCCTCCAAAAAACCCCAAGAACCTGTAAAAAGGAGCATCTGAGGAGATACCTGCCCATTCTCACCCCCTTCCTACCATGTTCCCCAGAATATGTTATGATGCTAGGAGCCCCCCACTGCTGCCTCAGTTTTGTAATTTACTCTGAGTGCATAGCAACTCAGGAAGTGGCAACACCCGAGGGGAGCCCCAGTGTGGGGGAGAACAAGGCTTGTAGGGATGAGCCTGCCTCCCTGCATGAGGTAAGAGTGGAATAAAATGCTTTAAATAGATCAATAAATATTCAAAATATTTGTTGAGAAACCAGGGCTGGAGGGTGAACCTTCTCTAGCAAGCTTCTCAAGGGCTAAGGCCTTCTCCAGGCAATGTTGCTGATGTTTCTATTTCCTCCTGGGCTGAGGGCAAAAGCAGCTGTCTCTCCCAGAATAAAAAGAGAACATTCCAGATGAAGGGGCTTGTGGGGCAAAACACATTACACAATTTAGCAGATTTGGAACAGTCTTAAGATTTACAGAAGTGCTTCACCATTTCCATTGATGATTAATGATTAAATTGGGATGGGCATCTTGCGGCCCTTCATATATTTGGGTCTCCTTGATCTCCCATCATCGCTCGCCACTGGCAATGCAGTTAAAGGGTGAGAGGAGCTGCAGACCAAAAGATCTGAAGGGCCATGTTGTCAACTCCTCTCCGGAATGAACTAAACAACAGCAGCAGCAGCAGCTCATTTTGTCATGTTGTGGAAACCCACAATGGGTTGTCAGGGCATCTGACCCAGAGTAACTGATCCCCTAGTAGGCATCAGGCATCAGCTAGCATGTGGCTTAACAAGAGTGGCAAGTCCCCTTGCGCCTCTTGCCAAATGGGCTGCTGCTCAAAGGCCCAAGGGGCACTTGGGGCTGGTTGGCACTGGCTGGGTATCCCCTGCCACAACACAAACCTTTCGGGCTTGCTGCAGCTTTTTCATCCCCTCACCATTTTTCCTCTTTGGAGATAGTGCAATGCAGGGATCCCTGTGAAAAAGCCTTGGGGATCCATGCCTTGTGAGAAACCAAAAAGCAATGTTAGCTATTTGTACAAATTAGAGGATTAAAGGGCAAAAAGAAGGTTTGTGACTGTGGACAGGCACTCTGGGGTTTGTCATTGGCTGTCAAAACAGGGATCATGCCTGTCAAGGTGGAGGCCATGATTTCTGAAAAACAAAAATGTCCGAAGGGACCAAAAAGCCAGGACAAGCCATAAAGAGCTTGCAAACCCATCAGGAAAGGGGAGACATGTCATTTCTGCTGTGTATCCCCTGGGAGGAACAAGAGGAAGGGAGAGATGAACACCTACGGTGAGCCCAATCATGTGATGGGTGCACCATAGGTTGCTGACTCAACCAAGAATCCCACTGTAGGCTTGTCACATTTCATGGACTTGCCCAGTACCTACTACTGCAAAAGGTGGGATATGTTGGAAACTAGGCTAGAATCTATTCATGTTTTAAAATATACATTGCTTTTTGCTGCACATTTAAAATTCTAGTGTTTTGAGCAAATTTGATTTTTCTGGAAAGATTAAAAGAAATATGAGCAATCCATTTTGACACAGCTTTAGCAGAGTTTGCCTCTTCTTTACCTTCTGCCACTGCTAATTAAGAAACACTTCTGTACATAGAACTCAACAGTGCAATCTTACATGTGTCTACTGAAGAATAAGGTGCATTATATGAAATGGGACTTGCTCCCAGGTAAGTGTATTCTTATTGCATTCTTATTCATGCACATTGATCATGCAGCGCAATCCTATTTAGAGTCAAGTTCCACATGTGGAATGGTGCTTGCTTCCTAAAAAATATGTATAAGATGGCAGCTTAAGGTAGTCATATCTGCTCTCTTTCTCTTCCTCTGTTCCTAAATGTCCTATGGTACCTTTAAATCCTATAGTGATAAACAATCTAAAGCTTATGACCCTGTCAGGCATTTCCATGGGTTGTTTCTTCAAACAATACTTTCTTTTTACAGGTTTTCTGCTCATCTCTCTGAAATAAACAAATTGTCAAATGCCACTAAAAATGTCATCCTGAGAAAAATAATCCAAACCTCCTCTATAAAACCTGATTTTCCTCTGGGTTTGTTATATTATTTTCAAGCATATTCCTTTTTTGTATTGTATACAAATATTGTTGGGTTTCTGAAGATGTTAAAAATGATAGTTGGTTCAACTATTTATGCATCATGTGAATTCATCCTGAAAAAATCCTAGAAAGAGTCTAACTGCAGTACAAAATGTACAATAACTCATACAAAGCTGCCCAGAGAAGCCATTGCGAAGGGTGAGGAGAAATTACCACCTGCAACTAACCATTCGATTCTGAGATATATATTTGGAGAGACGGGAAAATCAGGGACATAGTCAAAGCTAAGGTTAATGTTCCAGTTTTAAATTCTGATATGCCTTGATCTCATTAATTCCAGGCATTTGTAACAGTGTCATAGCAAAATGATCTTGCAAAATCTCTGGGGGGCATTAATTATCCTTATATTTAAGGACTGCTGAGGGACAAATAACATGTAAGACTACCCAGCAGAGAAACAGAAGCTTGCCCACAGTCAAAAAGGAGAAGACGTGAAAGATCTGGGGATGAGTTTCGTGTAAGCTCTGCTTGTCTTTATAGTGCAAGTGAGTCAGATGTTTGACCTGACAATTGTGTTCAAGGTGAATACTTGCATGCTTAAAAGTCTAGTCACACATTCATGCAGCCCAAGGCATCCTGGCTCAGTTCCCCCAAATTTTTACTGTGTATAATATGTCTATAATCTTAAAAAACCCCAAAAGGACTGGGCTGTTCATACTATAATCAGAATATATAGTATTCAGTTAAAAAGTATATACCTTATGAATTACCCTAAGACACCCCTCCTCAACCTGGTCCCTTCCAGATGTTTCAGACAACAGCTCCCAACATTCTTGATCACTGGCTATACCATCTGGGGTTGCTGGTGGGAGCTGAAGTCCAAAACAGCTGTTTATGCAGATCATTTTTTAAAAACTCAAATGATTGATTACACAGGTGATCGTTTCAAACTGTTCTTTTAATTTATTATCAACACAAAATTTACTGAATGCTGAACAAATAACATTCAATTTTCAGTAAATTTCGTGACCGTGATAACTGCTGTATGAACGCAGTCAAATTTGTACAAAGCAACTTCAAATTCATTTCACTAAGATTTACTCCCAAGAAGAAGCTTAGGACTGGCTATAATAACCTGATACTATCCAAGGGTATTTGGAAAACACTAAGTGCAATAGGATTTGATTCCAAGTATATGTCCATAGGATTGTTGTCTTCCACTGCAATCCTGAGCACAGAAATAAATCCTAGAGCATTTAGTAGGCCTTACTGAGTAATTTGGGATTGCAGCCTTCCTGCACATGCTATGCAGTGCTCAAAAATAAGTCTCAGTTGCTTCAATTAGGTTTATTACTAGGTGAATATACACAGGACTGTAGCTTTACAGTGCAATTCCATGCTTGTCTGCTCAGTAATAAACCCCACTGAACTTCCCCTTAGTTATATGGGAACAGGACTGCAGTCTTAGTTGCTCAGCAGCGCCCCTTTTATTCTAGGGAACTTATTCTAGAGAAGTAGTGTCTGCAGGAAACTTTTATACCCCCTTTTTATACCCCTTAAGGCATAGGCAGGCAACTTCTTCCCTATTGTCTAACTTAGGTGTACCTATAGGATACACCTATGTTGCAGTGCACACTGCTACAGCTTGGTGAGGTTGATCCTACCAACTTTAGTAGATGGAATAGGCAGATTTGGCTGATACTGCACCTTTTAACCTCAAGCTAACCGGACTGTCACCTCAAAATATGGCTCCGCAGTCTACAAAGTAAATAGGCTGTATACCTATTAACAAGGAGAAACTTCTAATGGCCACACAAAGGTCCCCTGTACTGCAGTGTTCCATAACGAAATTAAAATGGATCCCACCAGCTCACTAAATGATTGAGATGTGATCAACCAGACCAAGAACTGCTAGTTGAAGGTTGGGTAGCTGGCAATTAAAAATAATAATTTTGACCAAGAAGTTTCCTGCACTGATTGATTGACTGACTGATTGCAACAGACCTCCTTTATCATTCAAGCATAAGTTATTTTTGTTTTTTGCATTTAAAAATGCTATACTACAAAATGTCTCCATAATAAATGTCTTTAAAAGTTACTATAATACAAGTTTTAAAAATAATGCAAATACATGTTATTCCTCAGACTCTGACACCCAGATAAGTCCTTTACAGCCCACAGTGTACAAGTTGGATTGCTTCCTAAAGAGTCTATGAAAAGTCACTGGGAATCATCTATTGTGCAGTGTAATTACAGTGATAATACAGTTACGTCTGTCACTAAAATCATTATTTGTTTCAAGGAATCTACATTTCCTGCATTATTAACTTGGCCAATTATAAAGACCAGGGATGAGCTGAGGATTTAATTTTCTCTCCCAACAAGGACAGTAGCCATAAAGGGCTACTAGTCTGAACAAATACTAAGGTATTCTCAAGCTTTAACAGTGCAATCTTATACACATGTACACAGAGGAAAGTCCCATTGAGTTCAATGGGGCTTAGTCTGAGCTAAGTGGGTATTAAATTGCAGCCTCTAAGTACCAATAAACCTGGAAAATCCTACTATATTAGAGGTGGGCAATGTCACACCAAACTTAGTAGTTCTGGTTGACCATTTATAAGAGAATCATGCATATTAACAGCTGCCTCTGGTGAAGACATGAACAGGCCAAGCTTCCGTGAATTGTGAGGGCACCCTAAGAACACCACCAACTGCCTAGAGACAAAGAAAACGCATTTCCAAAATGATATGTCAATATTTGCCTAATAAATGTTTGTACATTCAGGTTTATACTTTCCTGCTCTTCGGTTTCAGTAATATTGTTCCATTTCAATGTTAACACATTAACACAATGAGCATCAATAAATAAACTAGAAGAAAGCTTTTAAAATGTATTCATATTACATTGTGCAAAAACATTAAATCACCTACATTCTATGCACATACCCTGACTAATATATGCAGGCCAAATGCTGAAGCCATTGCCCAGTTTCCACCTTTTCCTGGAAAGCAACTCATCGAGGGGAAAACGGCTGTAACCAGCCACCAAATGGCGCACAATTAAACACACTCAAGCCCCCTCCATGCATTCAGATGTGTGTATCGTTATGTGCCAGACTGCAGCTGTTTTGTCTACCTAAGCATGCTCCCATGAAGTCCAAGGACTCCTGACATTGACGTTAAGGAGACCAGTCTTTGGCACTGAATAATGACTTCAACATTAGGCCCTCTCTTGTGAGCTGTGTTACATTTACACTAATCCACTTAAGTGCAGGAGCATTTCTTTTTCTTTTCTTTTTTGCAAATAAAACTTTTTGCTTGTAGTTTACAGATTTAGCACTTGGTTTCAAAACCTTTCCTTTAGTTGAGAAGATCACTAGCTTATGCAGTTTTGACAATAAATGAAGTAACTGTTTCAGAATCCTTTACAATTTGATTATCCAGCAGGGGTAGGCCTTTTAGTTCCAAAGGAAGGAGGCGGGCTCAGTATTTGTTCGTCATCAATTGCTTTCTTCATTAGGATAAACAGTACTGCAGTTCAGCAAGGTGTTCTTTACTGCTTATAGGAAAGAGAGTGTGGAGTCTGTCTATGAGGGTGGCATTCAAGTATCGTAGTCACTGCTCCTTCAGACAGATGCTGGTGGCACCTGAGCCAATTTGGAATCTAAAATTTTGGTTTTTATCTTTTTCTGTTTGTTTTTCTTTTAATAATACTAATAATAAGGTCAACCAAGTTTAGTAAGTTGGAGATCTCCATTTATCTTTATCGTATCAATAGCTGACAACTTCTCAATGCGATGGTAAAAATCAAAAAGCTGGTGTCCATCCACGAATATTCTAAAACGAGGGTGCTCACAAAGTATTTCAACCTGTAAGAAATAAATTTTGAACGAAGAGCACAATTTTAACTGGAAGGAAATTTTCACACCACTTTAATATCACTAATATGGGAACTGTTGTTCATGGCATACTGCCTTAACATGGGGTTTAGGGTAGATCACTTACAGATCAATCCTATACAAATTTACTTAGAAGTAAGGCCCACTGAGATCAATAGGACTTGCTCCCAAGGATGCTTAAAGGACTGTAGCCTTAGAGTGCAATTCTCTGCACATTGCCCAGATGTAGGTCTTATTGATTTCAATGGGTTTTGCTTCACAATAGACTTGTATTGGTTGCTCCATTACAGAAATACTGCTATCTTGCAAAATCTAATCACAAAGTATGAAGCAGAGCTACTGTAGTCAAGTATGTTATACTACAATCTGCGAATCTTGGGAAACCGGAGGAAATAGATTCGGTTTACAGAATCCCTGGGCCAAGCCACACTCTCACTTTAAAAGCTACTTCTGCAGCGAAAGAAGGTACATAGTATCATGAAGCTATTGTGTTAATGTACTAAATGACTAATGGAAAGGTTACTCTGATATGATCTGCACATTCGGCATGCAATACAAATTATTCATACATAAATCAAAGCAGCCATCAATTCGACATCGCAAATCGAGAAGCATCACTCTGCCAATGCTGTTACCACTGCTGAACAAGCGGAGCTATCCACAAACACCCCAAGGCATAATGGTGCTACAAGCAGTGGCATGCAAAGAATGCAAATTCGCCTCCATACCGCTGTAAATCTGGAATTGCTTCATAATTCTGAGACCATGTGGTATTCCTTCATAACTCTCAATATTTACTTCATAAATATGGAATTAATCACAATTCATTAAGAACAGCTCTTATAGCACCTTCCATCTGCAGAGTTGACATTTTATTTATCCTCACGCCAATTCTGTGAGTTAGATCTTACTGTTCCCATTTTACAGACAAGGAAATAGGACTGCAACAGTGTTGAGCTGAAAATGGGCTTCCCTGTCTAAGCAGAGGAGGAAGCTATCTAGAAAATGCTCTGCAGACATGGCACACTGCTGAACCTAAGCAGCTCAGGCCTAGTTGATGTCCTCAACAATTTGTGGGAACAGTGGAATATGACAGCTAAACAAGCAAATTAACCCAGTCCTCCAGATCCATATTTATCCATCCATTATCTATTTCCCCCTACACAAACACCTCATATTTCCAGTTCAGGATGGAAAGCAGTATCCACAAAAAAGAGACAATACGTTGCCTGGACATTTTGAGTGTTGAGCATGGAGTTACCTATGCATAACATGCTAATCCTCATGTCTGTGGTTTGGGATTGCCATATAGTTTACCAATCCAGGATGAGCTAGATCAGTACTGATAACGTAAGAATTCTGTAATGTTGTGCTTTGTGGATGCATAGAACACACACACAGCCTTTATATCACATTCCAGTTAATATTCTTGCCCATGGTGCATCACAGACCCAGAGCCAACTTTATGCATGTCAACAGTAAAACATCTAAATGACTTCCATTAAAATTGGAATGCAGCCCATCTCTTTCCAAGCATGTCTATTTTAAAAGGATTGCATCATCCAAATGGACATAAGGCTGGAAACCTTTCAACATTTTGATGGGAGTAAAAGCCATTGAACCAAGCACACAGAATCCTACTGCTCATATCTTCAGACCTCTTAAGGACACAGGCAGAGCCCTGCGGGGTTGTTGGAAGCCCACAGGTGGGGCAGGAGGACAAGAGCACCCTCCTGCTCATGCCCCAAGGAACTGGCATGCCGCTTTCCATGCTGGGGACAGTGAACGAGCATCACGATTTGCCCCTCAGCTGCCTGATCCCCCATGAATTTGTCTCATCCTCTCTGAAAGTCATGCAAGTTAGAGTCACTGCCACTATCTTGTGGTAGTGAATCCACTGCTTAACTCAGTGCATCCATATTCTTATTGAGGTTGTGATTTTCAGCAGCCTTCCTCCTCTGCAAATAATCAGCCCGTGGAGGCAAATGGATTCCACTGTACTTGCGTGGAGTCTAAGATCTACTTCAGCAGAAACCCCTGCCAAAGGAAGTGGGGTGGGTGGCTACTAAGAAGAGGGATTTGACTCTTCTGGCAACCCAGCTGTGAAATGAGATGCTTGCCTGGCACAGTCATTGTTCTTTTGGGCAACAGGTGAAACCTTAGTTTCCCAAACATTTTAGCCTTCAGACTCTCTGAATCTGTTTTAAACCTTTCTACTACTGGTAGGTTTTATTCTGTTTAAACCTAAACTTTAAACTTTTATATTAACTTTTACTGGCTATATTTGCAAATTGTAGCAAACCACCCTGGCAACAAGCAAGCCGATGGCAAGGCCAACAAATGGGCCAAGAGATGGGCTTCTCTTTCTCCTCCTGCTTCCTCTGTTCCCTGTTGAGTTCCCCAGGGACGCCATGGGAAAACTGAGTTGCCTCCCCGGTTGCCTCTCCAACTATGAGCTGCAATCACAAAGTTGGTAACATATTTCCCTAAAAAAAAAACCTGTTACCCCTTTAGAAATGGAATTTAGAAAGTGGACTGGAGCCTCAAATACTCCCTTTCAAGCAGGATCCTGGGGTGTTTGCAGGAAGCCCAGGGGTTCTAAAGGTGACTTCAGCTACGCTAGCAAAACTAGCAGAAATCTCCTATACATAAGTAACTCCTGAAAAGAAGGGGAAAAAATAAAGGGAGCTCTGCTTTTCAAGTGGGATTTAGAAAGGTTTAAAAAGGTATTTTTGGGTTAGAAACTATACAGGCAGATGCAGTCTATCTAATTCTACAGTTTCTAGCAAATAATGCTACTGATGATGATTAAACCCTTCTCAATCTTACTTAGGGAATGCTTATCAAATTTCAACAAGACACAGAATTGGGTGAGATAGCTAATACGCTGGAAGACAGAAACAACATTCAAGGTGATCTTGGTAGGTTAGAGCACTGGGCTGAAAACAACAGAATGAAATGGTATGGAGCTCCTATTTTGATACCTGTCAAACCAGATGCTCCTATAAATGGGAAGTTGACTAATTCTGCATGTACTTGAAATGGAGGGATCTTGGGATCAAGTGCAAAAGTAAGAGGGTCCTTGGAGGCATGAACTCCCTCATGAAAGACAACCAATCTTGCCATGAAGGGGGTGTCTCAGATGCCCTCCCATTTCTTCAAACAAGGATCACTTGGGACCGTTTGACAGCTCATTTTCTGGCACATGTCACAATGGGGGAATTAACGTACCTGTAGACTTAGATGGGACCTGAACAGGGGAACATCTGTTGGACTTTGCAAAGGGACACCCCTCCTGCACATTATCTCTGGACATCCAGAATTGCACAAATACAACCAAAAATACTTTTTATAATTTACAACTCCAAATATCCCTGAACTATTGCCACATACTCTTTCACATTCAAAAGACCACCATACTGTGATAAAAATAGGATAGTAGGTGAATATTTGGTGGAGTGGGGCTAGTAAGAAGCCAAATACACTTAATCTCAACTGCTGAGAATGAGTAGGACAGAAAGATGCCCTTAGTGATTATGGACAGAATCCAG